GGGTCATTTCCCTATCAAAGGGATAATTAACACCCCCCAATGTTTGTAAAGTTAAGATTTATTTATAAATTCTAACCAGCCAAACAGGACAAAAATCACTCAAGGCCTTTGTCTCTGAATACAGTATTTGAACAACTTAGATTTAATGCAGTTTCTCTGGGAGGTGCAACTTCATTCTGACAGAAAGCTGAGAACACAAAACCTTTTGTAAAGGGCATCACAAAATAAATTAAAAAGTTGCCCTCTTCAAGCTGTAATGAAGCAAACTCAGCTTATTCCTCATTTAGAGAGATCCACATTAAAAATTTAACAGCCAATTGCAAGAGTTAAAGTCCAAAGCCAACTTCCCACTTGCCCTGAGCCATCAGGGCTGCCCTCAAAGCCACCAGCTCCGTTTCCAGCCCTGCAAATGAAATGAGGAGCATTTCAATAAAATACAAGAAATAAATAAATGGGCTGGCTTTTATTGGTGCTATCTCCAAGCTCTGCCTTTTAATAGGAACCATCAGCCCAAAGGAACTGAAAGTGCAAAAGGGAAGATGGAAAAAGGAATCAAACCCCACAGAAGGAGCAGCAGCAGCACAAGCCCGTGAGTGGGGTGAGGAGAAATCCCATCAGCACACAAATATCCACCTCAGATCTCCATTACTGCAAACATCCACCTCAAATCTCCATTGCTGCAAACATCCACCTCAAATCTCCATTGCTGCAAATATCCACCTCAAATCTCCATTTCCAATTGACAGAGTCATTTCAGAGCAGATAAACAAGGCCTGATCTGGCCCAGGTGGGATTCCAAAGCCTGGAGTTGATCTGAACTCCTTCCCAGCATTTCTACCCCACAATGTGTTATTTTAAGGTTGGTTGATTTAATGCATTTTTTGGGTGCTCCCAAAAAACCTGTCCTGCTGTTTTTAAAAGAAAGCAGCAAAGTTTGGGCTCAGTTTGGGAGTTTTCAAGGCAGAAGTGGCAGGGCAGGAGCGGCTGTGCTGTCCCAGCCCTCGGGGAGGCAGCAGTGATGTCACCCGAGCTGGGAGGTGCAGCCCCAGCCCTTGGCAGCTCCGCAGGAGGAAGTGATTGCTGCAAAGCCTCCTGTGATGTCAGCCCTGCATTACAAACCTGGCACGGGCAGCCCTGGTGGCAGGGGGGCCACTGCTCTGCTCCAGAGAATGTTGGCTGCAGCTCCTGGCACGGCGAGTTTGGCAGCTCCGGCCCCGAGTGCCACAGAACTACTCCCAAAAACTGCCGGGCCTGCCCTGCTCCTGTGCCGGCCTCAACCCTCCCTGGGACACAGACCAGGCTGGACAGAGCTGAGGGACACAAACCAGCGGGGACAGGGAGCTGGGGCTGCTCCGCCCCTGAGAACGGCCCGCGATGGCCTGGAGGGGGCTTGGAGGGGGCTTGGAGCAGCCTGGGACAGAGGGAGCTGTCCCTGGGATTGGGGTGGGATTGAAGGCCCGTCCACCCAGGCTGGCAGTGCCTGGTCCCATGGAGCACAAGGTGGTGCTCACCAGGACTGCAGCCCCTGAGGGATCCGGGAGAGCTGCAGAGGGACTGGGGACCAGGGCTGGAGGGACAGACAGGACACAGGGAGTGGCTCCCAGTGCCAGAGGGGCAGGGCTGGGATGCTGGGAATCAGGGATTGCTCCCTGTGGGATTCAAGGCCAGGCTACAGGAGGGAAGAAGCTCCAGGGACACCTTGCAGAGCCTAAAGGGGCTCCAGGAGAGCTGGAAAGGGATCTGGGACAAGGACTGGAATCCCAAGACAGGGAATGGATTTAAACTGGGAAAAGGGAGATTTGGGTGGGATATTGGGCAGAATTCCTGTCTGGGATGGAATTCCCAGAGCAGCTGTGACCAGCCCCGGGTCCCTGGCAGTGCCCCAGGCCAGGCTGGACGGGTTTGGAGCACCCTGGCACAGTGGGAGGGAGGTGTCCCTGCCTCTGGGACTTCCAGGGTTGAAGTTTTCCATCCCAAATCCAGCCAGGACTGTGGGATCCCAGATCAGGGTAGCAGAACAGCCCCAGCCCAGGTGAGCACACCTGCTCCTCCTCACCCAGCTCTGCTTTCAGTGCTGCATTCAGGCTGCACCAAGAACTGCAGCTGCCCTTGCACTCCTGCAGGATTCGTGCTAGCACCGTCCTGCAGCTGGACCCCAGCCCAGGCCATCCCCAAAGCCCACGTTTGTGGGGCCGGCTGGCAAAGGCAGCAGCTGCTGCTGTTTGTGCCTTCCCCAGGGCTCTGCCCCCAGGGCTCTGCCCCCAGGGATCCCCAGGGAGGGGCATCTGCTCTCCCTTTCCCGAGGAGGAAGTTGGGAAAGCCTCGCCCCTGGGAGGGAGCGGCGCTTCCAGATGGGACCTGAGCAACAAGGACTCGTCTGGCCCGGACAAAACAGCCTTTGTTAGCCCTGCAAATTAAACCCAGCCTGCCTAGGCCACCGCGCCGGCCTAGGAGCTGAGCTCACCCACACCGAGGGAGCAGCAGGGGAAAGGGAGGAAAGGGAGGCAGGAGCGAGAACTGCAGAGAGCCCCGGGCTGCTTTGGGGTGGGGAGGGACCCTAAAGGGCTGCTTTGGGGTGGGGAGGGACCCTAAAGGGCTGCTTTGGGGTGGGGAGGGACCCTAAAGCCCATCTGGGGGCACCCCCGTGATCCCAGGGTGATCCTTGGACACAGCAGAGAACCCCGGGGTGCTTTGATTCCTTTTGGGGTGGGAAGGGACCCTAAAGTCCCTTGGACACTGCAGGGATGGTTTGGGGTCCCAGGGGAACCTTCCCTGATCCCAGGGTGCTCCTTGGACACTGCAGGGATCCAGGGATGGTTTGGGGTCCCAGGGTACCCCGTGTGATCCCGGGGTGCTCCTTGGACACTGCAGGGATCCAGGGATGGTTTGGGGTTCCAGGGTACCCCGTGTGATCCCGGGGTGCTCCTTGGACACTGCAGGGATCCAGGGGCAGCCACAGCTGCTCTGAGGATTTTAAGTTCCTCTTAAAACACTTCAGAAAATCGATTCTTGTGTTTAATTAATTCTAGGAAACAATGGAAATAGAATTTTCTGTAGAAAATGTTTGGGCTCTACTCCTACTTTTGGCAATTGACTATTAACCAATTGTAACACTATTAAACTGTTAATTAAATATATTGGGAAAGGACATTCTTTTATACTAAATACATCAAATTTTCCTAAAACATGAGGTGCCCTGCATTGCTCAACTCATCTTTTTAAAAAGACCCCAGAAACAGCAGAGCAGAAGATTCCACCCTCAATATTCCTCAGCTCCAAATAAAATTTTTAATTTAATTAGCTGTAATTATAATTACAGGGCTAATATTTCATTAAGCAAAACCTGATTAATTGGTGAAGTCATTAATTAAGATGCCAAAAAGAACAACAAACTTCGATTATCTGGGGAGGGCAGCAAAAATTTTGCCCAGAACCTTTTAAAAAACCCCAGATTTTGTGATTTTATCAGCCCTGAGCCCATTGAGAGGGGCAGGTCTGAGCAGGTCCCGGGCTTTGTTTTATTCCACTCCACCTCTGAGAGTCCCTCCCCAAAAATGACATTTCCAACGTCAGAACGAGCACCAGGATGACCACAAAAGTTTGCAGAAACTCAAAACCACCCTGATTTTTTAAAAAATCAACACAAAATCCTTTTCTTTTAGCCAGGAGACAAAACCAGTACCTAAAGGTGCTCTCCAGAGCTTTTATTATTTTTTTTTTACTTTGACTTCAAAGGTTTTCCAAACGTGTTTAGACAAATAAAAAAAGGCCAATTAATAATCCTCTTGTCTGGACTTTCAGCTTATGAGGCTGATTTTGGGGTGGTTTTTCTTCTCCTTGGCCACAAATTCCCTGCTGGGAGCTCTGGAGTGATCACAACCCATTAAAGGTTTGAAATTAAATGTGATTAACATTCTCTTTTCATGTATAGTCACAGAGATTTTACTGCTGCTAGGAAAGAATCCTGATCTCTCGAGGGCCAAACTGGATCAATTCTACCAAATGCAAAAGGTGCAAACTAACAGAAAATAACAGCTCTGAGCTCTCTGACTGACAAACACAGCGACCCGAGCACATCCCTGCTGTCACCGAGCACTTTCGGGCATAAAAATGGATTTAATTGGTGCTGGGATAACCCCAGGAGAGGAGAAACCCTCCCTCAGTGCTGCCCTGCACACCTGTGGAGCTGCCGTGCTCCCTGCTCCCCTCACAGACACAGCTGGGGCAGCTTCTGCCAGTAAAGGGACAAAAACCAGGTCCAGGAGGGTTGGTTGGGGATAAAACCTCACCTAAACTCATCCCTTGACACGTGGGTGATGCACAAGCGTTTCACGGTTAATAATGGGATTTCTGGGAGGAACCTGAATATTGCATGATCTTTGAGCTGCACAAAAGTGTGGCTGTTTTAAAAATACCGGAGAGTTCTTTGGTGTTTTTGTTGTTTACTACGGGCACACTGAGATTGTTATCTTCATTTGCAGCACTTCTTGGGAGCTGTAATCCCAATTCCTGCCCTGCCTACGAGCTGTGAATTGCTAAATAAACACAACTTCATTCTCTTTTAGGTACTGTAATAATAAAAAACTGTAATAATAAAAAAACCCCAAACTAAAACCTGTTTTTAAGCCACGAGGAAGCAGAGCTCAGAACCTGTCTCAGGCCTAGCCCTGCCACACAACCGCCAAACAAACCAGCCCAACAACCGTGCAGCAAAGAAAGTGGAAACTGAAATAAAAAATTAACATTCACAGTAACAACAAGAAGAAATTAACGCGTATTTTAGCGAGGGGAAGTAAAAAACCCGAATTTCCTCAGCACCCAACTTCCGATAAGCAAACACCCTCTAACCCCGCGTTTAAGGAGAAAGAACCCGAACTGACACCCAGGCTCGGTGCTTTCTCCTCCTCCCTGTCGCAACGACACAACTATCGCGACTGGGCCAGCCGGCCGCGAGTTTCCTCCCCGAACAACCCGCTCCGATTCCGCCTCCCGGGGCTCCTCCACACGCGGCTCCCGCTCCCCGCCCGCCCCGGCGGGGCCCGAGCGCCCAACCCCGCCCGCCCCTTCCGGAGCCCCCGCTCCGGGCCGCCCCCCGGCCCCCTCACCTGCGCTTCCAGCGGGCCCGGAGCTCCCTGTCCCGCGCCGGGGGGCCCCTGGCCCTGGGCCGGCCCCGCCTGGCCGGGCCCGGGCGGGGTCTGGGTCTGGCTGGGGAGGGTGAAGTCGGTGAACTCGAACTCGGAGCCCTGCGTGTCGGCGCCGAGCAGCTCGGCCTCCTCGGTGTCCAGGAAGGTGAGGGTCTGCGAGCTGGGGCCGTACGCCTCCACGCTCATGGCGGCGGCGTTTCCTCAGGCCGGGAGCCTTCGTTCTCCCCCCCCCCCCCAGCCCGGGCCTCCCCCTCAGCGAGCCCGGGCGGCCGCGCTACGCGAGCGGCGGGATCCGCCGCGCGCACCAGGCCGCGCGCCCCCCCCACACACAAAAACGAACCCGCGGCCGCCGCCGCCGCGCTCGGGCCGCTCCGCCGGGCGGCCCCGGAGCCAACGGGCGGGAGAAGGGAGAGGAGCGGGGCCGCGTCCGTGTGTCCGGCCGGGTCCGAGCGTCCGTCCGGCCGCCGCGCGCCAGGCCCGTGAGCGGTGACGCGGAGCGCGCGCGGGGGACGCGCCGACGGCAGCGCGCGCGCGCGGGAGGGGGTGGGGGGGGTGACGCACACGCAGCACGTACGGGGGGGGGGGGGGGGAGAGCACGGCGCGGCCGCCGGGGGGCGCGCTGCCCTCATGGGGAAGGGCGGGGCTTGGCTCTGAGTGACGGGTGCGGCAGCCAATGGGTTGGTGAGATGAGGGAGGGGGAGTGCGCGCCCCGCCCGCTCAGTGCAAGCGGGGGAAGGGGACGGGGTTTGGTTCTGAGTGATGGGTGTGGCGGCCAATGGGCCATCGAGATGAGGGTTAAAAGGGGGCTGGGGCGTGTCCAGAGCCGCCTGGCATGGGGGAGTGCTCTCCCACACTCACGCGGGAGGGGCGGGTTTGAGTCTGAGTGACAGGCGTAGCAGCCAATGAGAGCGAGAGGGCGGGAGTGCGCGCTCCACCCACCATCGCCCACGTTGGCGGGAGGGGCTTAGGTCTAAGTGACGGCCCTGACAGCCAATGGGTTCTTGAGATTCTGTGTGGGCTGTGCCTGGCTCTGAGTGACGGCTGTGGCAGCCAATGGGACACCGAGATGAGGGGCGGGGGCTGTGGAGGCTGAGGTGGTGGAGGGGTCACTGAGGGGGATGTGGTGGCGGTGGGCATTTGTGAGCGGCTGAGGTGTAGAGAGGTCACTCTGAGGTGGTACTGGACACTTGTGAGGGGCTGAGGTGGTGGACAGGTCACTCTGAGGGGATGTGGTCCTGGACAGGTCACTCTGAGGGGAGATGTGGTGGCACTGGACCCTCGTGAGGGGAAGGGCTGAGGTGGGTGACCCTGTGGTGACAATGGGGTCACTGTGCCCACCTCAGCTGCCAGCTCTGCCTGTTCCCTTGGAACTGAACCCCTCTTGAGGGTTAAGTGGGAATTAAGGATCGAGAACTGCAGGAATTCCTGCTCCAGCTGTAATTCCAGTCACACCTGTAGCCCTGAGTGAAAGCTGAGCTGCTCTGGGCCTGCTGGACTGGGGATTCTCTGAGGTCAGAGAAGGGAGCACCACATTTCTACCTTTAAATACAAAAAACTTTGGATTTACCCTCATTCCGTTGGATCAGCACACAATAAATCCCTTTTAAGAGAAATCTTCTGTGTGTTGGGAAAGGCTGGATATTCAGTCCCTCTTCCCTTCCATGTTGAGATGCAAATATGTATCTTCTCTTATAAATAACTTGGATTTTATAGTCTTGCTTTTGGTGAAGGATAAAGCCCAGCCTGAATCAACGTGTTCCAGATCTGCAGCTGAAAAGATGGAGACTGGAGAACATCCCTGTCTTGGGAATATTGTGCAGCAAAAGGAGGGGAAAAAACAAATCCAGAGAATCCACTTCTGCAGAGAGACTGAATTCATCTCGTTTTTGAGTGGAATAAACTGATCAGACCAAAGAGTAACGGGGAGAAAGCGTGAAATAACATTCGAGGATGAAAGTGGAACCAGAGTGGGGTGGGAAAAAAAAAAAACCATTACAAAGCCAGGTGGCTGCTGGCTGCAAACACTTTTATTTATTAATAAACACAACACACTCCAAACATTTGGCTGCTCGACAGAATCCTCAAAAGTCTTGGCAGGGGCTCAAAGCTGCGCTGCTGTGCCGGGTTCCTGTGTTCCTGTCCCTGCCCAGCTCAGGAGTAACGGCAGCGCAAGCTGGAAAGGTCCCTCCGGGCTGCGTCCCCTCAGGGCGGCCTTGGGGACACTTCGGTGCTGCTGTCTGAGGTGCTGAAGCTGCAGATCCCCAGCACGGCCTGCCTGAGCTGGACAAGCAGCTGGGAAACCAGACTGGTTTGAACTGGGGCTGGAACTCTCTTTGCACCGGCCCAGAGCACAGCCACGGGAATTTGGGGGTAACTTTGCTCCATGGCGGCGCTGGAAGCTCTGGGGGCGCTTGGAGGCCTTTCAGGATCAGGGGGATGCCCGGGCAGGCTGCAGAGCTCCCAGGCTGTGCTTCTGGGGTGTTTGTGCGAGGTTTCTCCCTCAGATCCGGGCTGCTGCAGAGGAGAGGCTGTGACTCACTGAGCGCTGTGCAGCCAGCGTGGAATTGAAACAGGCAAAAACTGGCACAATTCCCTGCAGACGGTGCTGAGCTCCCCGTGTCCCTGCAGATCAGGAGCTGGAATTCGCCAGAAGAGAAGAAACCCGGGTGAACTGATATTTCAAAGGGTGAACTGATATTTCAAAGGGTGAACTGATATTTCAAAGGCATTTTCTGCTCGCAGGAGGTGACAGCGTGCAGGTGATTATCCCCAGGTGCTGGTGAGCAGCTGGAGGTGCTGGGGGAAACGCCAGCCCTGGGAAGGAGGAGAGGCCTTTCCCTGAGGCTGGTTTGAATTCCAGGGCAGCCCAGCAGCTCTGGGATTCGCTGGCATCCTCCTCCTCCTCCTCCTGCTGCTCGGCTGGGGCCAGGGCTGGGATTGGTCTCCAGGAATTCCCAGCCATGGAGATAAGGCTGCTGACGTGAGGGGGGCACAGCCAATGGAGCCCAGGCCGGCCGAAACGGGGGGAAAATGGGATATTTTTACCCTGGGATGGATGAAAACGGGGCTAGGGGGAGGTGAGGGTGGAGCAGGGAGGAGCTCGAGGGAAGCTCCCACCCAGAGCAATAAATGCACCCAGGGTGTTCGTTAATAAATAATAAATGAAGCAAATTAATCACTTTATTTCCCCCCCTGCTCTGGTCGCATCTTTTTATTTCGTGCTCAGAGGGTTCAAAACTCACAGAATTCCAGGATGGTTTGGGGTGGAAGGACCTTAAATCCCATCCATTCCCGTGGCAGGGACCCCTCCACCATCCCAGGCTGTTCCCACCCCATCCCTCAGGCACTTCCAGGGATGGGGAACCCACACCAATCTCTTCCAGTGCCTTTCATAATAAAGAATTTCACCCAAATCCTCCATTTTCTTCTTTTTCTGTCTCTGTTTATTGCCTTTTTCTTTCTTTTTCCTAAAAATTATTCTTAAATGAAAATGCCTTAAAATTTTACTTATTTCACCTTTATTGCCTTTTTGTTTCCTTTTTCCTTAAAATTATTCTTAAATGAAAATGCCTTAAAATTTTATTTATTTATGAATACCAATAAATAAAAGAACCAACCAATCGGTATTCAATTTATTGAATACCAATAAATGAAAGAACAACAAAAAAAAATCTGGTTTTTAAAAAAATAAAAATATTCTCTATGCTGACAAAATTTCAAATTTTTTTTTTAAGGGTTAAATCCATAGGGAAAAAATTGGGAATGAGCTGGGCCATTCTCCTGAGCCACCACGAGAGGGACACAGAGGGAAAGCAAAAGGAGCTGGGAGAGGAAGAATCCAAGGAACGGCTCAAGGTGGGATCATAGCAACGCATTTCCCTTTTGTTTGGGAATCACAGCATTCCTGCAGCTCCCATAAAATCCTAAAAAAAAATCCCTAAAATCCTGAATCCATCCCGTAAAATCCTAAAAAGTCTTCACAGATAATGGGCTAAGAAATGTGAACAGTTAAAATGTTTTTTGGTTTTTTTTTCCCCTCAGATTTTCCTCATTTTCCCTCAGCTTTTTCCATTTAGAATGTCAGGACAGGGAGAGGTTGGCCTGGCTGGGATTTTGTTCCGTCCTGAGCTCCTGCAGCAACAAATCCCCCAGGATTTTGTGGGTTTGGGGAGGGATTTCTGTTTATTCCCGGTGAGTTTATGCCTGTGGAGGTTGGGGAGGGATTTCTGTTCATTCCCAGGGAATCTTCACTAATTACCAGCTGATGATGCAAATGCCAGGAAATCCCAAATCCCATAAAATTTCTGCATGGAACAAAGGCCCCATAAAAACCCCCTGAAGTAAATATTGAGTATTTCGTGGGCTCTTGTGGAATTCAAAGTCCCAGGCCTGAAATGCCCTGGCTTGGAATTAATGCAGAGTGGATTTTTAGGGATCTGCAGTTGATTCATCCTTAATGTCAGCAAAGCCCTGGCTGGGCAGGCTGGGATTGGGATAAAAATGCTGAGAAAAAGGAAAATGGGAGGGAAAAAAATCCTTATTTAAAAAAAAAATTATTACTTTATGGACTTCAGTCTTACATTTTTGGGACAACATTTTAATATCACATTAAAAGGCCCATTGAGTGCTGGGACACTGAGTGATCATTTTAATATATTAATATATTTATATAATTTTACATATTTACATAACTATTTTTATTTTATATTTTTATAATATACTATTGTATTCATATATTTTTATAATTTTTATTTCTATTTTATATTGTTGTATATTCCTAATTTTATATTTATTTCTATAATTTCATCTATTTTTATTAATTTTTGTATTTTTACCAAGGCCTTTAATGCCCAGAATGTTTTCACAAGCCAAGAACATCTTCAAAAAGTGTTATTAAATAAATTTCAGAACTTCTTTAATTTGCCAGAAATTTTAGTGCAAGGGGAAATGCAAATCCAGCTCTGATTTCAGTGGAGAAAATTCACAGCAAAGGGTTTTTCTTCAGGATTTGTTTTTGCTTTTATCCCTCAGCAAATTGTGATAAATCTGATTAATTTTGATTTACCTGCAGGTTTAATTGGGGATGAATATTCCCAGAACAAGTCATGGGGATGTAGGAAATGGAGGAGAAGATTTTGGGCAAAATCCAGGGATTTTGAATGAAGAAAGTTCTCAGAAATGAATGGTGAGTGACATTAAAAGATAGCAGGTATTAGAAGATAACAGAGAATAAAACATAAATAATAAAAGATAACAGCAGGAGATGAAAAGGAAATGAAACTTGGTGCTCCAAACCAGCTCCAAATGGATACTAAAAATAAATAAATAAACAAACAAACAAACTCCAGTAAATCAGAATTTAATATTAAAATAAGAATTAAAAATACTGAGTTTCAGTGGGAAACTTGAAATCCTTCCTTCCAAAATTGTGTTAAAATTCCCTTTCCTTGAAAAGAGCTGAAACAACAAGGACAGGACCTGAATTCAAGGAATTAGTGCAGGGAAAAAAACTTTTTATGGGCAGAACTTGTGCCTTTTGTAGGTTCAGAATCACCATGGGAAGGTAAAACTCACTAAGAAAAAGCCAAGAGTTCCTAAAACCCGAGGAAAAGCTGCTGGAACTCCTGAATTTATTCAAGGAGAACTTTGGGAGGATCTGTTCCCTATTAAAGCTGCCTCTGGAAGGAGCAGAGTTGTTAAAAATCCTCCATTTCCAAAGGGGCATCCACAGCTCCGGGGGAAAACAAAAATAATAAAATAAAAAAAAAAAAAAAAGGGATTTTTCCAAAGCAGATGTTGTTGGAGCTGAGCTCAAAAACAAAATGTGGAGCTGCTGATGGGCTCCAAAATGTCCCTGTTTGTTGGGATTGCTGGCAGCTTTCCTGGGCAGATGCAGGGCTGGTGGAGTAATGGAAAATCCAGGCTTCCCACAGGGCTCTGGGGCTGCTGATCCTCCCCAAAACCTGGGGAAAAGGGAGATTCCAGGTTATCCCACGGGAATTTGGGAATGTGGGCAGCTTTGGGTTTCTCCTCAGATTCTGTGTGATGCAGGTTTTTCATTCTGGGGCAAGGCAGAACACTCAGGGTTAAAGCTGAGGTTGGGGTTGTGTCTTCAAAGAGGAAAAAAAATCCCTTCAAAATCAGGAATTTTGGAGTCCCACCCTGGCTTTTGCTGTAATGGAATAACATATTTACATTCTCTGCATAGGAAATAAATCCTCCCAAGGAAATCCTTCTTTCCTGCTGTGGAAAAATCTTAATTTGGCTCTTAATGATGAAATGATGCAAGGAATCAATAATTGGGGTTTGGCTGAGTGTCCCAACTTGTCCAAGGTGTGTTTGGCCACCCCAGGACTTCAGGAGGGCTCCAGGACGAAACACCCTCACCCAAAAATGGCCTGAAACAGGAACATTTCATTTTCTGGCCTCCATCCCTGAAGAATTTTCCTTTTCAGTCCCTTTTGATGTTAAATTTGCCCAGCTTGGCCTTATCTTTACCTTGCAAATACTCCAAGTCTGGAAAACAAGGAGTGTAAAGTCATTTATGCTTCCACTGCTATAGGAAAAACTGGTGATATTTCATCAACTTTAAGTTTCCTTTTCATTTTTTTTTTTTTGCTGAATAAAAATCAAAGAGAATGGAGAGACCCCAGAAGTGCTGGTGCTGGAGCTGTTTTGCCATGGTGGAAGGCCTTGCAAGGAGCTGTGCTTGTGGTGTCTGGGGGATGCTTTGAGGAAGGACAAGGAATGTTTTGATGTTTTCCTTGCAGAATTCTGTGGATTTCGGGAGGAACCCAGCCAGGGCTGCCCTCAGGCCATCAATGGTCCCAGTGTAGTTCTGGGAGGCCTTCCCAGAAGTCAGGAGCTCCTTGGAAGTGAGCCCAGGGCTGCCATCAAACAGCCTGGGACGAGATCAAGGGGGCTGTGGGCTCCCAGATGGCCCCACACTGCCAGAGGGGAACATTCCCATTGCACCACGGCCCCAGCACCCTGAAACAGAGAAAACACAGAGGCCCTGCAACTCTGGCTGTGCCCCTACGTGCTGGGAAGGTTTCCCTCATTCCCCTCATGTTCTGGCTCTTCCAGCTGCCAAGGATGAACCCTTTTCCCTTTTTCCCCTCATCCCCGTGATGTTCTGGGCTCTTCCAGCTGCTGCTTTTCCCTTTTTCCCCTCATCCCCCTGATGTTCAGGGCTCTTCCAGCTGCTGCTTTTCCCTTTTTCCCCTCATCCTCCTGATGTTCTGGGCTCTTCCAGCTGCTCCTTTTCCCTTTTTCCCCTCATCCCCCTCATGTTCTGGGCTCTTCCAGCTGCTCCTTTTCCCTTTTTCCCCTCATCCCCCTCATCTTCTGGGCTCTTCCAGCTGCTCCTTTTCCCTTTTTCCCCTCATCCCCCTGATGTTCAGGGCTCTTCCAGCTGCTCCTTTTCCCTTTTTCCCCTCATCCCCCTCATCTTCTGGGCTCTTCCAGCTGCTGCTTTTCCCTTTTTCCCCTCATCCCCCTGATGTTCAGGCCTCTTCCAGCTGCTCCTTTTCCCTTTTTCCCTTCATCCTCCTGATGTTCAGGGCTATTCCAGCTGCTGCTTTTCCCTTTTTCCCCTCATCCTCCTGATGTTCTGGGCTCTTCCAGCTGCTTTGCCAGAGATGATCCCTTTTCCTTTTTACCCCTCATCCCCCCAGTGTTCAGGGCTATTCTAGCTGCCAAGGATGAGCCCTTTTCCCTTTGTTCCCTTTTTCCACGTGGGCAACAAGGCTGGTGAGGGACCCAAACCACCCTCACTGTGGGTGAACAATCCCCACATTGCATTCTGCTGTGGCACAAACACAGGCACAGAAAATGAGATAATATTCTTGGGAAGGTTTTTGCCTTGCTTTTCTCTGTCAAGAGAAATGTGGGGCTACACACTTGGCCTGACAGGCCAAGGAGCCAAAACACCAACAATCCCCACATTGCATTCTGCTGTGGCACAAACACAGGCACAGCAAATGATGAGAATTGTGTTTTTCCTTTCTCTGGAGTTCAGAGAATGTGAAACCCAGAAATATTCTTGGGCAGAATCGTGCCTTGCTTTTCCCTGTGCAGGGCAATGGGGTGGCACAGGCCGGGCAGGATCATGGTGGAAACACCTCAGCCCCTCCCTGGCCCCAGCCCAGGCTCCTGCAGAGCCTCCTGCCTGCTGCAGGGCTGTGTGAGGAGGCAGAGCTCCCCCAGGAAGGGCAGAGACAGGGAATAATCACTGGGAGAAATCATGGAAATTCAGAGATAAGGACTTTTCCCATGCTGCTCCCTGCAGGGTCACCAGCAGAGCTGGGGTTCACATTCCCACAGGTGCTGTGGTGGAAGTGGAGCCTGGTGGAGCTGCTGGGTTCTGAGCAGGGCCCGTGGCAGCACAGCACAGCCATGGAGGAGGCTGGAAACTCTGAACTGGGGCTGTTTGTGCTAAAAACGGCACCGCTGGCCCTGATTTATGAGCAAACAGGAGTTTGCAAAGGGCCTCGGGAGCCTGGCCCAGAAATCCATGAGCCTGATGTCATGTGGAGAGGGCCCAGAACACAGAATTATTTTTATGGAGTTGTTAGCAAGTGTTATTAAAAAATTGAAATGTTCAATTGGAATTTTTTTTCTTGGCTATAGGATGAGGGCAGAGCAAAAGTCCTGGAATGGATGTGGACGAGACATCCCAGTTTTAGGCCACCCTTCCTGGCTCCAGATGAGAGCATGGCTTTGCTGGAAGAGGGGATTGCAAAAGGGGATGTGAGGGAGGTCTGGAGCAGTAATTTTAAACAGCACTTCAGCCATGATGTCATTTCAGCTGAAAAATAATGTTCAAAAATAATGTTCAAGTTTGGGTAAGCAGAGCCCGGGGCCAGCAGCCGGGGGGGGAGGAACTGCAGCAAAATGGAAAGTCCAAGAAGTGGAAGGTCATGGTGGAAAACCAAATCAGAATAACCTCGAAAAAAGGTGGATGAAAACCCTGGAATTTTCAGTGAGCAGGAGGATTCCAAGGAAATGGAGGGGAGGAAGATGTTCAAACCCTGGACAGGGCTTTCACTCCCCTGTCTGGAAGTCAGAAGCCAAATCCTGGAGCACAGGAACAGCCTGAAGGATTGTTGTGACCCCAGGCTGAGATCCCAGAGTGATCCCAGATCTTCTGCTGGGATTTAACCCAAATCCAGCCAAAAGCTGCATCCACTCCTTGCCTGGAGAGGCCAAAAGGCTGAAACAACGCAGGGACGTTGTTCCAGTGGGCTGGTGGTTTGTCCAGTGTCATTGCAGAGGTGGCACTGTCACCCTCCAACCACTGTCACTCTTGGAAATCTATAAATGTTATCTATAAATCTCTAAATGTTGGAGTCAGAAATTAAAAATTCTCTTTTACCTTGTGAGAGCTGCGTGTCCATGTTGTGCTGCTGTGGCCTGCAGGCTCAGGGGATCACAGCTGGAGCAGCCCTGCCCTCGGTGCCACCCCCAGGAAAACCTCTCTGCACAGGAAGCGTCCAGCAGGCACCCAGAGCCTGCCCAGGGTGTTTAGGAGCAGAGGAAAGGATGAAGAGGAGCAGCCCTGCTCTGTTTCACTGTTTACATCACCTCCAAAAAGAAGCAGCTGAACTGTGATTCCCCCGAGGCAGCTCCCAAGGAATTTACCCAACAATCCAAGGAAAAAAACCTTTTTTTTTTCTTTTTTCTTTTTTTTTTTTTCTCCACCTACAGAGTTGGCTGCAAAAGCTCATTCTCACTGCACAGGAGGAAATAAAAAATCCCATTTTGTTGGGGAGAGCCCAGTCCTGCCAAAGAGCCCGGCCCACGGGGCCAGGCTGGGAGCAGGAGTGGGACAGGAGGGACTAAAGTGGCTCTTGATGTGCTGGGGCTGGGGGTGAGGCACAGGCAGCAGAAATGGAAAGGTCAAGTTTCCCAACAGCCCCAAGAGAGGGCTCTTCCTTCTGGGGGAGCTAGAGGGGGAATAAGGAGGAGAATCTGAGCAGCAAACAGGGAGATGGGAGCACGGGAGAACCTCCTTGGGCAGCAGCACATTCCCAAGCCATGGAGGAGGCCACATTCCCTTCTTGGAGGTGAAGGAGCAGAGATGGGGAAGGCTGTGGGAGAGATGAGGGGAAAGGAGGGGAAAAGCTGAGGTTGGATACAGCAGGAGCTTTCCTTTGCCTTTTCCTTTTCCTTTTCCTTTTCCTTTCCTCACTCATTTTTTTCTCCACCAGAGAACCCCAGCCCCAGCAAAGCTCAGTTTTGTTCATGGTGGAGGAAGATCTGCTTTGCTTTCACCCCACCAACACCCACTCCTGCAGCCCTGCAGGGTCCTGCCTGCCCTGGGGAAGCTCCAGGAGCAGAACCAGCCCTTCCTGCCCTTGCTTCTGCCCATCAGGGGCTGGTCCTGCTGCCCAGGGTGCCCTGCTCATCCCTGCCCATCCATCCCTGCCCACCCCTGCTCATCCCTGCCCATCCATCCCTGCCCACCCCTGTCTGTCCCATCCCTGCCCATCCATCCCTGCCCATCCCTGCCCATCCATCCCATCCCTGTCCATCCCTGCCCATCCCATCCCTGCCCACCTCCTGTGCTCAGGGTGCAGGGCAGGGTGCAGGGACACCAAGCCATCTCCCATCACCATGGACATGCTCACTCAAGCCGAGTTCAAAGGAAATTGTTGCAGCTAAAGTGACGAGGCTGGCAGGAGAGGCTGGCTGGCAGCTGAAAGGGGCCAGCTCCTGGTGGAAGGAGGTGGGGTCAGAAAGGGGCCCTGCTCCAGAGAGCCCTGGAGAGCTCCCTTGGAACAGAGCCTCCCCAGCAGCACAGGAGGCCAGGCAGCATCCCCAGAACACCCCTGCAGGGCTGCAGAGAGGGCAGGACAGAGAGAAGGACAGAGAGAGGGGCAGGACAGAATGCAGGACAGAGAATTCAGGATAGAGCAGGGCAGGACAGAGAGAAGGACAGAGAAGAGATGGACAGGGAGAAGGGCAGGACAGAGAAAGGAATTGATAGGGTTTTTTTAGGGTCCTTTCAAGCATGACAGGCTGGGGGCAGCTCGAGGGGCACTGTGGGGGCTTGAGGGTGGCAGAGGCTGGGAGCTGAGGGAGGAGCAGGGAGAGGGCGCAGTGGGTGACACACAGAGAGGCTGAGGGTGGCAGGGACAGCAGGAGGGTGACAGAAGCTGGGGGCTGAGGGGCAAAGGAGAGGGAGTAAGGGTGACAGACAGGAGCTGAGGGGCAGCTGAGAGGGGGTTTGAGGGGCATAGGGGGGGCTGGAGGGTGACAGCCAGAGCCTGAGGGCTGGGGGGCAAAAGGAAAAGGGCTGGGGTAGGTGTTTGGAGGCCCGCAGTGGCCAGCTGCCATCACCTGGCACTGACGTGTTTGATGAAAATCCTTTCGCTGGGATTTTCCTCCTGAGAAGCCTCAGAACAGAAATGGAACCAATAACGATCTGCTGGCTGTGGAGTGTGGGCTGGAGATGGTTTAGCAACAGGGGCATCTTGGGTTGGTCTCCTGTGCATTGTTTCTACTTGGTGACCAATCATGGTCCAGCGGTGTCGGGGCTGTGAGCAGTCCCAGGTTTTTATTATTCATTCCTTTCCAGCTTTCTGATGTCTCCTTGCTCTTTTAGTATAGTTGTAATATCTCATTTTCTTTTAATAGAATAGAGACAATAAAATAATATTTCAGCCTTCTGAAAGGTGGAGTCAAGATTCCTGTCTCTTCCCTTGTCCTGGGGACCCTCAAACAGCACCACAATCACCAGCTTGAGCTGGTCTGGGCAGCAGCAAGTAAAATAAAAAAAAAAGCTTTAAAAAAAGAAAAATTAAAAATAAATAAAAAATAACTTAAAATTTAAAAAATAAAATGAATTAAAAATAAATGAAAAACAAAATAAAAACTGTGAAGTGCTGTAAAGTACCGTAAAAGTTCCATAAAAGGAAGTGCCATAAAGGGCGACTGTTGTAAAATTAAATAAAAAATAATATTTAAAAAATAAAATAAAAAGCTTTAAAAAAAGAAAAATGAAAAATAAAAATTAAATAAAAAATAAAATTAAAAAAATAAAATAAATGCTTTAAAAATAGAAAAATGAAAAAAAAAGTAAAAAATAAAATAGAAAGCTTTAAAAATAGAAAAATGAAAAATAAAAATTAAATTAAAAAATTAAAAAATAAAATAAAAAGCTTTAAAAATAGAAAAATGAAAAATAAAAATTAAATAAAAATAAAATTAAAATAATAAAATTAAATGATTTAAAAATAGAAAAATGAAAAAAATTTAAAAAAATAAAGTTTTAAAAATAGAAAAATGAAAAATAAAAATTAAATTAAAAAATTTAAAAAATAAAATAAAAAGCTTTAAAAAAACAAAAACGAAAAATAAAATTAAATAAAAAATAAAACTAAAAAAATAAAATAAAATGCTTTAAAAATAGAAAAATGAAAAAAAAAATTAAAAACATAAGATAAAAAGCTTTAAAAAGGAAAAATGAAAAAAAATTTAAAAAATAAAATAAAAATATTTAAAAATAGAAAAATGAAAAATAAAAATTAAATTAAAAAGTTAAAAAATAAAATAAAAAGCTTTAAAAAAGAAAAATGAAAAATAAAAGTTTAATAAAAAAGTAAAAAATAAAATAAAAAGCGTTAAAATTACAAAAATGAAAAATAAAAATTAAATTAAAAAATTTTTAAAATAAAATAAAAGGCTTTAAAAAAGGAAAATGAAAAATAAAAGTTTAATAAAAAAGTAAAAAATAAAATAAAAAGCGTTAAAATTACAAAAATGAAAAATAAAAATTAAATTTAAAAATTTTTAAAATAAAATAAAAGGCTTTAAAAAAGGAAAATGAAAAATAAAAGTTTAATAAAAAAGTAAAAAATAAAATAAAAAGCGTTAAAATTACAAAAATGAAAAATAAAAATTAAGTAAAAAAATTTTAAAAATAAAATAAAAAGCTTTAAAAATAGAAAAATGAAAAATAAAAATTAAAAAATAAAATAAAAGCTTTAAAAAAAGAAAAACAAAACCAAAATTTAATAAAAAATTAAAAAATAAAAAAGCTTTAAAAATAGGAAAATGAAAAATAAAAATTAAATAAAAAATAAAATAAAAAAAAAAATTAATTAAAAATAACTGAAAAGCAAAATAAAAACCGTAAATTGCTGTAAAGTACCATAAAAGTTCCATAAGAGGTAGTGCTGTAATGCACGACTGTCGTAAAACTGCCGTAAAGCAGAACTGTCGTAAAAGGGACGTACAGCGCGACTGTCGTAAAAGGTGCCGTAAAGCGTGACTGTCGTAAAAGGCGCCGTAAAGCGCGACTGTCGCAAAAGGCGCCGTAAAGCGCGACTGTCGTAAAGGCGCCGTAAAGCGCGACTGTCGCAAAAGGCGCCGTAAAGTGCGACTGTCGCAAAAGGTGCCGTAAAGCAGAACTGTCGTAAAAGGTGCCGTAAAGCGCGACTGTCGCAAAAGGTGCCGTAAAGCAGAACTGTCGCAAAAGGTGCCGTAAAGCAGAACTGTCGCAAAAGGTGCCGTAAAGCAGAACTGTCGCAAAAGGTGCCGTAAAGCAGAACTGTCGTAAAAGGTGCCGTAAAGCAGAACTGTCGCAAAAAGGTGCCGTAAAGCAGAACTGTCGTAAAAGGTGCCGTAAAGCGCGACTGTCGCAAAAGGTGCCGTAAAGCAGAACTGTCGCAAAAGGCGCCGTAAAGTGCGACTGTCGCAAAAGGTGCCGTAAAGCAGAACTGTCGTAAAAGGTGCCGTAAAGCGCGACTGTCGCAAAAGGTGCCGTAAAGCGCGACTGTCGCAAAAGGTGCCGTAAAGCGCGACTGTCGTAAAAGGTGCCGTAAAGCAGAACTGTCGCAAAAGGTGCCGTAAAGCAGAACTGTCGTAAAAGGTGCCGTAAAGCGCGACTGTCGCAAAAGGTGCCGTAAAGTGCGACTGTCGCAAAAGGTGCCGTAAAGCAGAACTGTCGCAAAAGGTGCCGTAAAGCAGAACTGTCGCAAAAGGTGCCGTAAAGCGCGACTGTCGCAAAAGGTGCCGTAAAGCGCAACTGTCGCAAAAGGTGCCGTAAAGCAGAACTGTCGCAAAGGTGCCGTAAAGCAGAACTGTCGTAAAAGGTGCCGTAAAGCGCGACTGTCGCAAAAGGTGCCGTAAAGCAGAACTGTCGCAAAAGGTGCCGTAAAGCAGAACTGTCGCAAAAGGTGCCGTAAAGCAGAACTGTCGCAAAAGGTGCCGTAAAGCGCGACTGTCGCAAAACTGCCATAAAGCGCGGCTGTCGTGAAAGTTGCCGTAAATCGCGACTGTCGTAAAAGGTGCTGTAAAGCGCGACTGTCATAAACGGGAGTTAAGCCTCATAGAACGGATTTTAATGAATTTCCCCAATGCTGACTGTTCAGTTGTGTTTAGCAGAGACTTTTGGGGCACAGTTTGAATAAAGCACTTTAATAGCACCTCCTGCCGGGCCATGGCTGCCGCGGGGCCGGTCCCAGCTTGCAGGGCGTGGCTTGAGCTGTGTTTGCCGCACGGGGGGTGCCCGCAGCAGCCGCCCCGCCCCTCCTGCGGCTCCGCCCCTCCTGCGGCTCCGCCCCTCCTGCGGCTCCGCCCCTCCTGCGGCTCCGCCCCTCCTGCGGCTCCGCCCCTCGCCGCCGCGAGGCTCCAGCGGGACACGCCCCCCCCCCCCCGCCCCCCCCGCCCCCCCCCGTCGGACCG